AGATTTTTATATGTAATATTTGGTATACTTGTAGATTTTTTAATTTATTTTTTTACTTTTTGCGTGTTTTCTCACGAACCACTTGAGCTTTTTGTCTGAAATTTTTACCATTTCTTCCTTTTCATAAGAGCTGTGTTTTAAATGGAGCAGAATTATGATACATTATGGAAAAAGCCAGTATGGCCGGTTTAGCTTCTCAAAAAATTACCCTTTTTCTAGCATCATTTTAGGCAGACAGATTTTCAGACCCAGGACTTTTTATTTTTTTATCTATTCCGTTTAAAACACACATACACCTATTATAAATGTGTTAACAAAGTTTTATTTGGCATCTTTTTTACTTTTTGCTGAAAATTGGCCGGCGCAAATCCTTTTTTTGTGTGCTTATTTTGGGTTTTTTTTGGGGTTCATGAAACAACCATTGACCAAAAAAATTTTTTTTTAATTTATGTTTTTATTATATTGCTTGTTACTTTATGTCAAATTTTTTTTCCTATTGTGTATATTTGAAAATAGGGGGTGATATCCTTAAAATTTTTAAGAGTGTTTCTTGATGAAAACATCAATGGAAACACCATATTGATTATCCCACTAAAAATTTCTAAGAATATATTGAATCTTTATTTAAAAATAGAAATTACAGTATCGGACAAAACAAGTGCAACCAAATAATGCTAATTTAGTTTCTTTATATAAAAGTACTGCATTTTTTCAATTTAGAGAAATAACTATCTAACTGTTTAGAAACAACGTTCTTCAAGTTTTATTCATCACAAAGTTCATTATTTGTACACGAAAATTAATAAATTAATCAAAAGTATTAAAAAAAAGTTGATTTCCTTCTGGACAAAACAAGTGCAACTCCACAAAATGTTGACCAAGCAGTATTTTGCTATCAATATTTCGTGACAAATCCTTTGTTGTCGATCACAGCCTTGCATCTTCGAGGCATAGATTTGATCAGGTGATCAATGAAACTTTGTGGAATTGCTGCCCAGGCCTTTTGGATTTGTTCAAACAGTTGATCCTTATTACAAACACTTTTACGATTAATTCTGCGGTTAACATCTCTCACAGGTCCTCGATAGGGTTGAGATCCGGAGATTGAGGCGGCCAATCTATCACCGATAAGTGGTTGTCTTGAAACCACGGCTTGACTACTTTTGCAGTGTGTTTCGGATCTTTCTCTTGCTGAAAAAACCATTTTATTGGCTTGCTGAATGGAATCAGCATGAGGTAACATAACATCTTTCAGGATATTTTTATACATGAAACGGTCCATTATTCCATCGCTTTGACGTATTGGACCTAGACCGTTAGCAGAAAAACACCCCCAGACCATTACATTGCCTCCACCATGCTTTACAGTCTTATGGCAGTAACGTAAATTGAGGCGTTTTCCGACCGGTCGACGTACACGGCAAATGCCATCGCTCACAATGATGTTGAACTTTGATTCATCACTGAACAGGACAGTTCGCCATTTCTGCACATTCCAGTCAATATAAGATGTAGCAAACAGGAGTCTTTTCTTCTGGTTCTTTAGTGAAATCAGCAGTTTCTTTGCAGGGCATCGAGAAAACAATCCGGCTTCAACAGCACGTCGTCTGATTGTTCATTCCGATACAGGCAGCTCTAATTGCTTTTGTATCTCGATTGATGATATCCATGTATCCTTCTTGACGGATCTGACGGTCATAGAATCCTCTCTAAAAGTGGTGGAACGCGGTTTTCCACCTTTGTTATCTGCTACCAACATCCCCGTCTAACGATATTTGAAACATAGTCTTGATACGGTCCATTTTTTCACGCGATATTTATCACAAATACTTTTTTGTGACATTCCACTTACATAATCGCCAATATTTTTCTTTCTTAGTTCCAATCCATGACTGCCGGGAGCCATTTTTGCACTTAAAGTCATAAAAATAATAAAAATAAATAATCACGCTTCTCAAGGCTTTACATTTGTTACATTTACCTTGCGATGATACAATAATGCTCTGTGGAACACAACGTCTGGATACTTCTTTTAATTATTAAAAAACTTTCGTGACGTTGACACAGACCAGACTAAAGAAAATGAAACAAACCAAAAAAGTTGCACTTATTTTGTCCGCTGCAAAATGGCACTAGTTAGCGAAATTCTGCCTATGTGCTGTCACCTGTCAGCTGATTGCTCATGTCATGGCATGCTATGACTCCAGACTTAACTGAACTGTTTGCTGTAGTAGTATAGTTCGTTTCGTTTTTAAGACATGTAAAATTAGGAACACTTTTTAGCATTGTTCGATGTTGGTTGCAAATGTTTTGTCCAATACTGCATTTAAATAAAAAAAGGTTGTTTTTATTAAACTATTATTCATATATAATATAAGTTATGCTTATTATTTTCAATATATTTTTAAGTATCTATGGCCGAGCGACAAATATTTAGAGCAAAATATTTTGTTTTTGTCATACCAGCTATCGTCGCCGCGACGATCATAAGTGCGATGAAATTGCATGCTTCTGACAACAACATCTGCAAGTTTCTGACAGCGCGCCATCAGAAATATGCAGTTCGGGTAATTAACTTTTGCAGTTCATTTCTATCATCAACTCACCAATTTTATTTTTTATTAACATATTTGCTTTGCAAAGTCGGTGCAGAGACAAATACAAAATATTTTGCTTTAAATATTTGTCGCTCGGCTATAGCGGTACACGGCGGTTCATCACCAAAAAAAGATTTTTAAAATTTTATTTTTAAAATGGTTTTTATTATACTTTTTTTTTTTCACTTCAAACATCATTTTACAACAAACTCGGTCGAAAATTCGTCAATTTACTAAAATTTTAGTACATTTTTCTAATAGTATAAAATAATATAGTCTACCCGTAAAAGAGGTTATACCATCTTAGGAACCTGCTCATCTTACGCAACCTTCCCTTATATGTTTCTAATAGTATTTTTTTTTTTATAAATTTTACATTTGTTGGTCGTATTACAAATATATATTGCCAAAAAAAAAAATGATAATAATAATAAACTTTCACAAATATAAAATAAAGTATCTGAAAGAAGATCAAAGGATCTTGTCGTCAGAACCTTAAATAAGTTCAAACAAGCATTAACAGTATCAAACTTCTACAAATTTCATAAGTATATATTATATAATCCAAATAGAGATCACGCGGATCTACTCACCAATATTTTATATAAACGTATACGTTAAGTAAAGAATACAAAATCAACAAAATAAGTTAGAATAAACTTTTTACAAATGTAAATAAGAAAAGGCAAAATTATTAACTCATATTATTAATAATAACATAATACGTCATCTAATGAAAAAAATTTGGGTTTTTAATTTACTTTTAAAAAAACGAAAAGTAATGGGTAGTTTGAAGTCAAAATTGGGCAAAACAATTTTATTCCAAAGGTGTGGTGCCGATAGGCAATACAAAATTAATTAAAGTTCGTTTGACAGAAAGGTTCATTTATAAAATCAGTGTTTCTCAAATTGTATTTGTTGATGGGTTTCGGAGTAAAAATATCTTTGAAGACAAGTCATTTTTCTACGTGAATACAAAGCATAAAACATTATTTATATTTAGCTCGTATATATTTAAAATTCTCATATCAATAAAATAATGTTTTGCGTGAGAAAAGCGATTTGCAAAGCAGATTAAACGGATAGCATGTTTCTTTATTATCTAGAGAATAAAGTAAAACAGTTTTTTATCTTGTACATTAATAATATAAATGTATAAAAGCTATATGCTGCTTTACTAAAGTACAAATAAAAAAAAACAAACAATCATAACAAAAAAAAAAAAAATCGAAAAAACTTTTAACAAAATATTCACTAAAATTAATCTAAATTAATTTTAGCTTCATTAATTTAATTTTTTTTAGAAACATTTATCTAGTAACTAAATTTTGCATTTTTGTGTTCCGTGCGTGATTATGTTTCAAACTTTATTTATTCTTTGATATCACTAATATACACCATTTTTTGTTTACAAAATATTTATATAGATTAAATTGATTAAATGATAGTATATTGGAACTCGCCAGTTTTATTTTTATGAAAATAATAGACAAAACGTATAAGAGTTTCCGTGCATAATTATTTGGAAACCCCATTCTGTTATTTTTTTAAAAACTTCTGTTATTTTCTTAAAAACTTCTTTTTGAGTTATTTAACTACAATAATTACTTTTATTATTTATTAATATTTTTTGCTCATTATTTTAATAACTTAGTTTTATTGAACATAGGTATATTTATTATTTATATTTTATTATCGCATATCTCAATATATTGTTATTTTAATGTAAAATAATAATGCAATAACGGAGACAGGGGGTAGTTATCTTTTTTTTTTTTTTTGTTATTTAGGTGCCCCAAAAAGAATTAATGGTCTTTCACAGAGCACCGCGGAAGTGCATTTAACCAAGAAGTTCACGCCTCCTTTGTTACCGTGACGCGAAAATATGTCCAGAGCTCGTTTCGAACCTGGATCTCCTGTTTATACAGCATGCGCTGTAACCACTGCGCCACGGCCGCATTATCTCTGTTTATACTCCTTGAGCTTCCATGTTTAGCAATGTTATAATCAATAAGTGATTTTAATGATTTCATGTCATAGCCATTGTTAAAATCAGTTATAATTATAATTTATCAAAAAATTAAACAGTTTTCATTAGCAGTACAAAATTATTGACAATAAACTCACATTCACGAACTTAAAAAAAACGAAATTAAAAAAGAAAAAAAAAAAAAAAAAAAAAACTGGAAACGGATTAGAATTAAACTAGCAATGAAATATTTAACTAACAATAGGATAAGGATCGAGAAATGATCCACGATAGGTAGCTATAACTAAAATTTCACCCTTGTATCAAAAAGTGGTGCATACTTTTTTTTAAATTGCACCTTTCATTTTCTACTACCACACCTCAAAATAAATTTATCGCAAATAAGAAAAAAACACAAAAACTAGAAAGAATGATAAACTTGAATTGTTAAATTTTATTTTTTAAAAGTATAAATAAATTATAATTGTTTACTTCCTTCGAATTTGTAAGTATTTTATTACGAAGATCAACCAACTACCATTTGGACAAATTTTACTGCAAAATTGTTTAATTTGCAAAAATCGCTACCATATTGACATCCTTTGCTACCAATTTGTTGATAAATAAAGTAACAATAAAATGTTATAATTTTCATTTTCATTCTTAATGTAGTACCAAACTGCAGCATTAATTCTTTGTTGGATGACAACTTGAAATGCTTTTAAACTAAACATGTTGCGCCGCAACTTGTGCAATAAGTTTTGTATGTTGCGCAACATGTTATTGTACGTTATGCAAGGATTTGTCATACTTATGTACATAACGTTTTGTACATGTTATGCAACAAGTTGCTGTATAATGTACATTACGTTGTTGTTATGCAACAAGTTGTTGTACGTATGTCAACGTATTGTCCTAACAAATGTTATGCAACAAATTGTCCGACGTATAAACATTACGTTGTTGTACATGTTATGCGAAGAGTTATCAAAGGTAAATACATTACGTTCATGTACATATATTGCAACAAGTTCTTGTAAATATTGTTTAAAAGGTTGTTGTACATGTTCTTAAAGTTGCCATTTATTAAAGAAATTAAAGTTGTTCAAAGAGTCACCGCTTTTTAAATGTGTTTTTAAATTCATTTAACATTTGAACGAAGTAATTCTCTAAGACCTCTGCGCATCTATATAATGATAAATCTGATGGATTATGATAGCGATAATCGTCAAATATTTTGAAAACATCATCCACAAAATCTGCAAGCGTTGAGTAGCTGTTAGTGTGCAGTTTTGTGCCAATAGTCTGTAAATCTAGAGAAAAAAATATAAATAAATAATGTTCGCCATATTTGAAAAAAATATTCGCCTTTTAGCTTTCTTACCCATCATGCTTTTCTCGTAATAATCTTTAAAGTCTTTTTTATAAACAGGTTTCATAAAAAGCAATCCAAATTCATGATTCTACGCAACAGAAAAAAATTAAAGGTAATAAAAATAATACTTTAAAATTCACCTAAAATCTTGAAAACTATTTAAACAAAAAACCAAAAAAAATTTATAGCCTAAACTTAAAAGTTCATAATTTCTTTTTAAGGTTGAAATTTGAAAACTGATTAATAAAACTAATGAAGTAATACTTACAACTAATGACGTAATAAAGTTAATTCTTACAATTAAAGATTTGTGCAAGCATTTTATTCCATCAAGTTCTTTTCTTGTTAAAGGTTTTGAATTAACTAATTCTTTAGAAATTTTTTTCCTACATTTAGAGCATTTATATTCTTTAACTAGACTATCATTTGTCATACCAACGCAAGTATTGTGAAACCAGTCTTTGCACATTTCACAACCAATATATATTCTATACGAAAATAAATAATTTAATATTAAAAAACAGTTTAAAATTTAAAAAATTATTTCATTTTTAATTAAACTATTTCATTTTATAAATTCATTGTTAATTTTAATTAAAATGTGGAATTTGTAAAATGGTGGAAAAAAGAAGTATAGTATGGCGCTGACACTTTATAAAAAGTTGCAACAGTTATAGATCATCTTAAATCAGTACTCCACTTTAAGTATCTGACAAAACTGTGTTATGGTACTATGAAAATGAACCTGCAATATTCGCTATAAAAATTCCTCAAATTTTTACGTTTAGACATGGTATTCTATATTTTTCAAGCTTATCATCTTTTGTCTTCTCAAAAATCTCAAATGATGATGTTCAAAAACTAGGGATGTACCGGAATTCCGGCCGGAATTTGTGACTTTTAGGTTATTCCGGTTTCGGCCAGGTTTATAATATTTCAGGGCGGAATGCCGGAATTTATCTTTTACTTTATTTATTTAAGATATGTGACGCAGACTGCGTAAATTAAATCAAAAAATACAAAATTCTTAACAAATACAATTTAGGTAAAGCTACAGTTTAGCGCTGTAAAACAATTTTTATTTTTTTGTTTGTTGCGCTCAAGTTAGTAGAGAGTTTTTAAACATCAGCAATTTTATTTGAAATAATAATAGAAAAAAGATTGCTGCCCTATGGCGAATCCTCAGTCAATGCAGCAGCACTTCCTTGTAGAAGCAGGCTATAAGATAGTTGATGTAGCAACACTCCCTTGTAGCAGTTGGCTATAAGATAACGGATGTAGCAGCACTCCCTTGTAGTAGCAGGCTATAAGATAGTCGATGTATGTACTAATGCCAATAAATATTCTTATGTTTATATTAAAAAGTCACCACTTTGAGCAAGTCTCCACACAAAAGCGCAACAAGCGATAAAATTAAATTATTTTAGACCGCATATCTGTAGCTTTGCCTAATTTTATTTGCAGTAAGAGATCGTCCATAATTTACGCAACGCAAAATATATTTAAAAAAAGAGAAGTTATTCCAATCAAAAATCTAAAGTTATACTTATATAACACTATACAAATACAACACAATTGTAACAAAAAACTTGTACAATACAATAGTTGTACAATACAATAGTTATATAATACAATACAATAAAATATACAAAAAAACAAGTTATAAAATACAATAGTTTAGTTCAACAATTTTAAATTGCAAAATACAATAATTTTATTTTACTTTTTTATACTAGTTAAGTTTTAAAAATTGGTTAGGCCTGGTACCAAATAGAACTTGCTCTCTGAAAAAAAAGATTGCTTAGGTCTGGTACCTAATGGAACTTACTTTCTGAAAAAATTAAATAAAACATAAAAAATTAAATTATCCTTTTTTTAAAGTTTATCCAAAAACCTTTTTATTCAATTCACAATCTTATTTTACCTATCATTTTTATGTAATTTTCCAATAATATATAACTTTCAACATACCGCAAAGTTTATCATTGCTGAAAGAAGTGTTGAAATATGGCAGTCATACCTTGGGCCCCACGTTTTTAGTGGGTCACTGATGAACAGTCAAAATGGAATCAAAAATCGATAATAATAGTGTCAGTATAGTATAGTGTTAGTATAGTGTTAGTATAATGTGAGTATAGCTGTTTAAATTTTTCAGTCAAACTTTAATTTTACAATAAAATGTGATTTACCTCATATTCCTAAAAATATGCTAAAACAAGCTCAATTTATCTAAACTTTTTTAGCACAATATGGTTGATTGATATTGAAATACTTTTAAAAACTAATGTGAATGTTGTGGTTTTTACTAATGTGAATGTTGTGGTTTTTACTAATCATTTTGATAATAAAAGAAACATAGATCACAGTGTTAAACTTTTTTAACACAGTTTGGTTGATTGTTGTTGAAATATTTTTTTAAAATTAATGAGAATGTTGTGTTTTTAACTATCCATTTTGATAATAAAATATTTTTTTACTCTCCATTTTAAGAATAAAAACCGATAGAATTCTTAATAAAATATAAAAAAATAACAACAACACAACACTAAAACTGCAATAAGAAAACAATAATGTAACATAACCACATAAAAAACATAAAATCAAATTAAAAAACAAAAAAAAATTATTTGTTATGCTTTTAATAAAAAAAAATATTTATGTTTTACAGCAGGTGTTTTAAAAAAACTTTTATGATAGCAACAGCATAATTATCATTTTCCAGTTTTCCAGTCTGCAATATCTTTATCACAATTAAACATCAGCATGGAAAAGTATATCCATAAAAATTTAAGATACTATCGCACACTAACTATTTTTTAAACAAACGTGTGCTGGCAAAATATGACTAATCACGTTAAAAAGATGATTAATCACATTGTGTGTGATAAATAGATTATTTTCATCTATTTTGCTGTATCATACAAAATTGAGGAACTTTTTCCTCTTTAACATATGTTTTCAGCCCCCCCCCCAACTTTTGCGACTCTACCCCACTGTCTACAAGTACTTTGTTAGGCTTTGTTAACTTTGTTATGTAGATCAGTAGCTGATCAGAGGCAAGTATGTTATAGCAACCAGTAGTGGTCTCAACAACCTGTAAAACAGCAATGAATGAATAAAAATAAGAATGAATGAGAAATGAGACAAAAAGGGAAAATATCGAAGATTAAAAGGCATATATAAGGGAGATATAATATAAGGGAGAGCGTTCATTAAAAACTCTTAAACAGCAATTAAGCAGTTTAAGTTTGGAAAAATATATTTAAATTATATGCATATATGCCTTTAAATTTTTTTTTAAATTTAACTAATATAATAATTATTTTAACAACAAATGATAAATTTGTTGTAAATATTTTGAAATTTTATCTTTAATTTTAAAGTAGAATTATAGCACTTGCAGAAAACATTAATTAGCATTAAACAGTACAACTCAACACAAAACTTTATAAAAAAATAAATAGTTTAATGTAATAATATAAAATGATTACATCACCTTTAGCATCTTTGTCCAGATGGTCTGCAGTTGTTAAACCATTAATAAGTCTTAAATCTTAAAGTTTTTAAATATCTTAAAGTTTTAAATGTTATTAGATAAATAGATTTAAAGTTATATTATGTAGTTTGCATAAGTTTAAATGGGTGAGTAGATTTTATATTCATTTGATGTTTATTCATAAATATGTGAAACTTTTTTTTTTAATACATTGTTTCACTGGCTATTATAATTTTACATTTCTTTTAAACATTAGCCATTAAATTGTTAAAATACACATAGTTACTACAAAACTTTGCATAATTATTACAAATATTTACATAATTAATACAAATACACACACATTTTAAAAAAATGTTTTACTAACCTGTTTTCATCATAAGGCTGTCTGCAAATACAATACAACTCTTCTTCTTTGATAAGAGTTTTCTGCTTGTTGCATAATTCACATATATATTTATCAATACTCTCTGCCTCTTCTTCTGTTATATCAATACAAGACCCATGAAACCAACCATTGCATAAATCACATCCCACATAAAATCTAAAAATGTTTAATATTCATAATAGTACAAAATCTATAAGATTTTTTTAGTTAAGGTTGTTTTAGTCTAACTAAAATTACCAGACTAACTTTTTAGTTAATTAAATTTAGTCAACTAAATTTGAGGTCTTACTATATATCTAACTTTCAGGCAAAATATTATGAATCTATTTAATCTGATATTTTTTTGAAGACAAATTTAATAAAGTTACTGATTGATATGATAAAATTCATTTGCAAGGCTTTTACAGGTAGCACTTACTTCCAACGATATATAAAGTACATATTATCACTTGAACAATAACATTAAATCTTGGACTTGAAAATATTATTTTTTTATGTTATTCTAAAAATAATTATTATATTGAAATATTTTAAGGAAAAATATAAAAGTATTTATACTTGGTAAGAAACTACACTAGTGAAAATAAAAAGTTTTGAAAATATGCTACATATATATATATATATATATATATATATATAGATATATATATATATATATATATATATATATATATATATATATATATATATATATATATATATATATATATATATATAACATTTTAGTCTAACTAATTTTAGTTAATTTTACATTTTAGACTAAAAATTTAGTCTAAAATGTTAGTCTAAAATATTAACTTTTGTATATATGTATATATATATATATATATATATATATATATATATATATATATATATATATATATATATATATGTATGTATATATATATATATATATATATATATATATATATATATATATATATATATATATATATATATATATATATATATATATATATATATATATATATATATATATATATATATATATATGTATATATATATTATTTTAAAACATCAAAAATAGGATTTCTCTCAACACTTATAATTGTTGTAAATTATAAGTGTTGAGAGAAATCGTATTTTTGATGTTTTAAAATAATATATAAATATACTCTCACACAAGATGTTATCCTTTAAATCATATATATATATATATATATATATATATATATATATATATATATATATATATATATATATATATATATATATATATATATATATATATATAACATTTTAGTCTAACTAATTTTAGTTGGACTAAAAATTTAGTCTAAAATATTAACTTTTGTCTGCCTAAATAATCCCACACATGCTGTATTGGGTTTAAGTCTGGTGATTGGGGAGGAGAATGTAGTTATCTTAAGACATTGTAGAACAACCATGATTTTACAATATGAGCAGTGTGTTTCGGATCTTGATCCTGTTGAAATACCCATTTATTTTCTAGCTTTGCTTTAGCAGTATCTGATTTCAAATTATTTTTTATTATGTCCAGCGATCCATTTTAGGCTAAAATACCTGAGTATGCTGAATAAAAAAACTCCCACTCCATGTTTGATTGTCGAAATTAGATTTTTTTCTTCTAGCTCTGTATTCTTTTTTAGGAAAAATATATATAAATACCTGAGGATGGGTATTTCAACACAATCAAGATCCGAAACACACTGCTCATATTGTAAAATCATGGTTGTTCTACAATGTCTTAAAAATTATTTTTACTTTAAAAAAAAGCTATGAACAAACAAGTTTAAACAAGTTTTAACAAACTACTAAGGAATTGAGTATTATTATGTATTTGTTTTGTTTAGTGTATGAAAACTTTTGTGACATGAATTCAAAAATTAAACTTTTTCAGTTTTAAATAAACTTTTATTTAGTTAAACAACTTTTATTTCTTGTATGATATATTCTTGTTACATTGATATAAAATTAATTTTTTGCATTTAAAATAGTTTTTATTAAATGTTTTCTCTAAATTGTAAAGTGTACGAAAAATTTTGTAACTGACTGAATATATTATAAACTTATTTGGAGTCAGGCCTTGGCAAACAAATGCTGAGGGTCTGATTCCAAAACTATCATTTACCTTGGCATTACTTGGCAACATTTTTAAAATTGAATAAAAGTTTTGAATTTTTTTAATAAATCTTTTTCTCTTAATTTCTTGAATGAAATTGAATGAAAAATGCTTTCTAATACACAATACTATACTTGGTTTAAGAAATGATTTTTTTTTTTTTTTGTGTTTTTATATCTTTATAGTTTTTTTTTAAATATCGCTCTTCTTTACATCAATTTTTTTTGCTAATACTCTCTTATGATAAAACTCTCTTCATAAAAACGTTTACATTTTCTGTGTAATTAAAATTATGTCAAACAGCAAGAAAATGTGTGTTGATGCATTTTTCTATGTTAAAAAAATTAAATTAAAAAATTATGTTTTTACAAAAAAAAATTTTCCTGATAAATTATTTGAATTGTTTATAGCATTGCACAGTGGGCCAGAATTTTTTTTCCGTGGCCAAAAGTCCCAAAAAAGTCAAATCTTCTAAACTTTTATTTTATTTTATTATTGAAACATAAGTGCTTTACTCTACTCAAAAATGTATCCGTTTAATTACAAGAGATTAAAGCAAGCTTGCTAGAACCATTCATAATGGCTTTAAAATTGTTGAATTTTCGGAAATATTTTTTTTTCAAAAATACTTATCCTCAAAATTAACATAACTTTTTTCAATTAAAAAAACTTTAGACTTTTTTTTATTTTAAGTAAACATATTAACTTAGTGCTAATAAAAAGTAAATGTTTTAGTTATATATTTGTATTTAATTTATTCATAATATGTCTTAGAATTGTTGGTATTTTAAAGAGGTTTTTCTAAATTTTCTCGTCTTCCTTTTTCTAAATGCCACTCGAAGATTTTTTGATTTTCTGATTTTTGCATTTACTAAACGGCAGTTATTTGTTCAAAAAAAAAACCCAGCTGCGACCATGTATTCTTTATGATATATTTTTAAGTTCAAAATCAACAAATTTTTTTGCTTTTATAAAAAGACCAATTTAAAGTTAAGATAGTTGTTTAAGGAATATAGTTTTTTTTTTTTGTTTTTTTTTTTTTTAAATTAAACACATCAAACCATTTTTGTTTAAAATAAACTTTTTTTATTATTTTATTGTTTTCTAAAAAGTAAAAAAAAAGAACATCATTTCACTATAAATACGTAAAAATCAAATATTTAAGTATTCGATTCCAACCAAATGCCGCTCTCTTGAAATTGGAATTAATGAATTTAGGAAGTATAACGGTTGTTTAATACTATTAAATAAAATCAGCTGCGACTAGCTATAACTTAAACTTAAAATCAATTTTGAAATTTCAAGATCTTAGGCTAATTTAATTCTTACTTTACAATGCATTGTGATGTGAAAAAAATTATTTGTCTGGAAATTTGAAGTTTATATGATACTATATGATTATATGAAGACTAATTAGTTGATAATTGCAGCGATTTGATTGCAATTATGTTCCTAAAGTAATAAAATTATTTGAATAAATTTACACTCAATTATAGATATTTAAATTTTTTCTTGAAATAGCATTATTAATATCATTACATGGAGACCATGTAAAAAATACGAAGATATGTCCTACCGAAGTAAATCGTCACGCATCCATATTGTTAGTAAATCATGATCATTTTACGAGCAGCAGAAATGGGGTTAAAAAAAAAAAAAGCGATATAGTTTGCTATACCACGTGCATCCCTCACCACCCTCACGAGACCTCTAAAAATGTTGGAGCTGTTTTCAAAAACTGGGATAGGGATTTTGTTTTTTGGCTTCTTCTCGGGCTCTCCGAAACGTCATTGGTGATCGCAGTGCATTCCTGAGGAGGGGGATCACCATTTATCCACTACTTAATTCTAATTGGTTATTATGGCACCAACATTTTTTACCTCTTACACCCATGAATTTTTGCGCTTTGTGAGCTTTTTATTATGTATTTGTTACATTAACGACATTTATATATTTTCATGTTACACAGGTGATTATCATCAGTTCTCAATTTTTTATCTAGAGTTTAGAACATATATAGTACCACATTTATTAGACATTTGTATGGTGCGATTATTTTAGTTATGAATACCATTGATAAACCAGCGAATTTTTATTGACTTGTTTACTCATAGACCATTGTTTTATCATTTGCTAAAAGATGACTAGAGTGTGAGTTTTGGTTCTTCTCTTCCTGAGTTGCTAACTTTTACTCCTCCTACTAAATAGTCTTTACATTAATTTATGTTTTTTTACCTAAATGACATCAACTTCAATCTGTTTTTATTTTCCTATCTCCCAGGTCTACGTAACTGGACGGTTCCATTGGTCACTTTTTGCGATCATTGTGTCGCATAAAAAAAAGATTTTAGGCTAATTTAACTCTTACTTAACAATGCATTGTGACGTGAAAAAAATTATTTGTCTGGAAATTTGAAGTTTATATGATACTATATGATTATAGTATCATATAAACTTCACTTTTTGAAGTTTATATGATACTATAATCATATAAACTTCAAAAAGCTCCGTCACTTTTTGCGATCATTGTGTCGCATAAACAAAAAATTTATTCTTTGTAGCTGGTGAGCCCCGACTTTTTCTAATGTACAGCACAATGACAAAACGGACATTAGGCTATCCCGCTGGATGTGGTTACAGCAATCAATAACCTAATGACTACACTGACACTCACACACACGTTCAGTCAGAAGCTCCACAATGAATATCGGACCAGCGCTTGCTGACTATGCGCTCGGATCTGAAATCTCACTTCATAGCACATCATTCCACACCAGCACGGGGCAGTAGCTCTTTTGGCTAAGAGTGATGGCTTGTGGCCTATGGTGACTAATTTGTGCATTCAATCAATTGAAATCCATTCTGTAGGTTTTACGTCTGGCTGTGATGTGCTAGCCCATAAGCGCAAGAAGTGAGTGTGTTTAGCTTTCTATTCACCCAATTTGAAAGTGAACGGAAACATAACGAGACCATACTAGACGACAAAACGATACGTACTAATGCACTACACCATCACACCTGTAGACATCAACAGTCTTCAAAATCAGTATATCAAATATTTGTTCTTTGT